GAACTATAGAAAATTAGAAATGCAGACAAGGCAGGTATCTCTTCCTACCACCCAGAGATAACCACTTTTAATACCTTAGTGTATATCCCGCCTGTTTTTCTCAGTTGATATCAGCCTTTCAAATGAATATTTATCTCATCTAATCCTCAAACCATATTTAAATTTTTCTAATTGTCGCCAGAAGGAACATCACAGCTGATTTGTGTAATCTAAGACTGCAAATAGCATGTAGGCATCCTGTCCCTTAAGTCTCTTTTCTAGAACACTATTAGTTGAAGATCCTGGGATCGTTGTCCTGCTGCCTCAGAGTGACTCTGCCTGCCATTATCAGGCTGGCGTAACAGTCTGAGCAGTGATGTTCTCCCCAGGAGCAGCTGTAGAAGGCAATAAAAGAGTTGGTGTGGCATCTGGAAAGGTACCTTGATGTGGAGCATGGATAAATTGATAAAGCATATCTCTCCCCAAAGAATGCTTTCTGAGAACTTGAATAGCCATTAAATGAGGACTAAAAATCTGTTGGGGAAAAGCAAACTCATCACATATTGTCATCAGCCCCATCAGCTTGCTTCTTTTCCACTTAGTTGACATTCCGCTGGTCGTTGGACCCCAAACAGAGCGGATCTCTTGCTTTCAACCAAAATTACCATCTACTTCAGCAGCAGAAATGCAACATGACAGTCTTACACTTGGTAATAACCAGATGTGGCAGTCAACTTCATGTGCTGAGTGAGGATATTTTTATGCCATCTAGACATCTAGACTCAAGTTTAAACTAATTCATGTCATAGAGAAATAATAGCTCACTTGCGAAATTACATAGAACATAAAATATGATGTTTCTGCTGCACCTCCTAAGCCTTTTTGACAGCCTGCAGGTGCAGGTTTGGGTATGGGCTGCAAGTGCCCGGGGAGCACAGTGCACTCACCACACAGATGTAGACGGCCCGATCACTGAGCTGGGCGGCTCTGATGTGCAGGGAGCTGCGCTTCCTGGCTGTATCCAGAGTTGCTGTGTACCTTCCTTTTGACTTTCTGCTCTCTGCGTTGCTCATGATTATCAGGGAAACAGGACCTCTCCCAGCATCCTGTCTGTACCACCTTAAGTTGTTAAAGGGGCTCATTGTATAATTGCATTGCAACGTGCCATTCTCTCCCTCCAGAATAATCAGGGACGGAGGACTCTGCTCCACCTGGTTTATGCTGCTCGCCCCTATTCAGAAAGGAAAGTGAGATTCAAGAGATGGATAATCGATTCCCACACATCTAATGTGTGTGTCCCTTCCTTCTCTGACAAGAAATCCCAGATGAACTATAAAACAGCTCATTTTCTCTCCTCTTCCTACACAAAATCAATAGAGCCTTGGTGAAAATCCTAAGAAAATGTTCCCTGGACTTGCTGTGTCAACCTTGCTGAAACCCTTCATTAACTTACAGCAAAAATGAAGCCACAAAACCACCAAAGAGGCCCTCGGGTGCTTCTCCATATTTCAGCACAAGGCTGCCACCCAAAGCTGGCTTGTCTATTCAACATATATATTTTTTTAACATTAAATACAGGCTTCCCAGGGTATAAGCCAACCCAATCAGAGACCAGATTGTGCTGCCCTGTGCACAATCATACCTGCAGGCAGAGCCATTGCAAACACTGCCCTCTTGGGGTCAGAGCCACAGATGCTCAAAACCTCTGATGAAGCTTCTGGCTAGGTTTCCTCTTCACTATTTGCAACATGGTATAGAATATAAGCCCCTGTATATTGGTTTAAGTAGAGTAGATTAGATTAGTAGTTAAGACATGTTTGAAGACCTCAGTCTGAACTCTGGCTGTATGTGATATTGAACAGGAGAATTTAGCCTCAGGTTTGTCATCGGTAAAATAGGTATAGAAACACCTGACAATTTTTGAAGGATTTAAAAGACATGATGGAGGCTGTCAGCAAAATTGCAGTTGGAAGCCTTAGCTCTCTTTCCTCCACAGGAACATGGATTTAAATGACAATATTAGCACCTTGAAGAGAAACCCAGAATTCAGTGAGAAGTAAAGGCAATGCCAGAGGAGCACAAACTGAGAACAATCACATTTATGTAGGTGAGAAAAGCAATTTCACTGGACCCACATCAGTCCTTCGACCCAGGTTAGCTCATCAGCACAAGAAGACAGCCTAGGCCCATGATTTTTCCCATAAGGGTGGGATTGGAGCTGAGGGGGATGGGAGGGTGAGGGCAAAAATGAGACTAGAGTGTGAACCTGACACCGCATCCTGCAGGGTGCCCTCTGTGGGGCTGATTTCAGTCTTGCCTCATACTGAGTGCTGAGCAACACACACAGCCCGATCCCTTGGGACAACTGGAAGCAAAGGGAAGGGAAGGGCATCGCTCTGCCCAGCACTGCTCTGCAAGTTTGGGAAGAGGTGCAGAACTGAGGTTTATCTCCACAAGGAAGGGGAGGAAGTAAAGGGGGTCTTCTGCCCAATAATTCACAGCACCCTCCAGGGAACCACTTTCTATCTCACCTCATACTGAGCACTGGACACCTGGCAGAATTTGGTCCTCCAGGACAGCTAGAAACAAGAAAAGGGGCAGGTGTGCTCTCACAGCCAACACTGCTCAGCAAGATTAGGATAAAGCAGAGAACTGAAGTGTTTTCTCGGAAAAAGAAGGAAAGAAGCAAAGGGCCTGTCCAGCCTTACAGTGCACTCTCCAAGGGGCTGGTCTCCATCTTGCCTCACCTTCAGCACTACAATCAGAGAAGATCTCTTCCAGTCAAAACCAGAGCATAAAGACTGGGAGAGGCAGCTCATTCTTCAAATGCTCAGGTAACAAAGCAAACCTCAAGGAGCATAAAGAATCAAGAAATATGACATAACCAAAGGAAGAAAGTAAATCTCCAGTAACCAACTCAAAAAAATGGAAATCTGGGACTTGTCTATCAAGGAATTCAAAACAGTCATCATAAAGAAGCCCAGAAGCCCAATGAGTTACAAAAGAACACAGAAACTACGCAAAATCAGGAAAATCGTACTTGAACAAAGTGAGAAGTTCAACATACAAGCCATACAAAGGAACCAAACAGAAATTCTAAGGCTGAAAAATACAATGCTGAACTGAAAAATTCACTAGAGGGTTCAGAATCAGACTTGATCAAGCAGAATAAAGAATCAATGAACTTAAAGAAAAGTCATTTGAAATGATCCAGTTAGAGAATCCGAAAAAAAAGGCAAAGATAATATCTAAAATCAAAGAAGAAAAATGAGTCATTTAAGAATGGATGTTGAGCCTGGATAGCTGCCTCAAGTTAAACAAGTGAGCAAACAAAAATTAGGGGCAATAGAAGTCCTTGAACCTCAGCCTCACTTCTTACATGCACACCAGATGCACACATACACACACATACAAACCCAGATTAAAGATTTAAAGACAAAAAATAACTTGAGAGAAACTAGACATGTATCATTTTAGAGTTCTAGGAACTTTTGAGCACTATGTAACTCAGAATCCATAAAAGAAAAATTTGATTAACTTACCACATACTATTTTTGAAATTCTATGTGGCAAAAACAAAAACAAAACATAGATAAAGCAAAAGGATAATAAACTTTGTCAAAAGACATATATATACAACAATTATATCGATTTTCTTAATATGGAGAATCTGCTTTAAAATCTGTATTTAAGAAAACAGTAAGACAGTAGGATTTGGGCAGATATATGAATGGACAATTTATAGAAAAAACATCTAAATGGCTTTTAAATATATGAAATGAAGCTTCATCTGATTCATAATTAAATAAATCATTAAAAATAAAAGAAAGTTTAACCCAAAAACCTTAGTAATAAACACAGTTTGGAGAAAGTAGGTATTCTCCCCAATCACCATTAGTAGTGGCATATATTAGTAAAATGTATCTAAAAGACAATTTGTTTCCACTATATAGATTACTACGAGTATGTTCTTTTCTTGAATAATATTTAACTTGGCCTGAAATGATCATTACATTTTTCTATTTAAATTATTTTGGCTTGCCTTCTTTTAATGTGCTGTTCCTCAATTCATCAATGACTAACTTGCATTTTTCTGTAAGGTTTGGGAAGTGATCTTACTTGTTATAAAGAGTCCTGGAGAGCATGGGTGTTTTGCTGCTTATAAGTTTTCTCCTTCGGTCCTCCCGTTTTCATCCTCTACTCCCCAAATTCCCCTAAAACACACAAGCACACACACACATAGCACCATCTACCTCAGTTATTCAAATGCAATTGGTGCTTCTCATTCCTAAGCCTTCCAGAGGGTGCAGCTCACCTTGAGGAGTTTCTTATTGGCTTCTCACACTAGACCCAAATTTTTTCTTTATTTGGTCTGCCCTGTCTGCAAGTTTTCATTTCTCCATATAGGAGAAATATATGGAATCTTCCTTTCATTTCTCTGCTTACCCCTAAAATCTTGCTGACATTACTGTCTTCTGTCAGCTCCTTTTCTGTTCTCTTTGTGGGTTTATGCCTTTTTCAATTTCTTTACTTGCTTTTTAATAAGATTTCAGGAGATTCAGAGATGGAGATGTGGACACTACAAACCCTCTCCCTGGAGAACTGTTAGAAAGCCGACAGGTCAGTGTACAGGTCGGGAATACAAGGAGGGGCCCATGTGATGACCGAGCCACAAGGCATTTCCTAGTGATGTTTCTGTCCTTCCACCTTTGGATCATCAGCGTGTGCCCAGCATCTTATTTATGATAAAGTAAACCAGGATAAAGGTCTCTTTCTTCCCTTTTCATTGCCCAGTGACACGTGAGCTCTGTCCTCCTTCCTACTCTTTCCTTCTTTCTCCATTAAGCACGTGAGGCTCAGGGCTGTCACTTTCCTACTGCCTCTCCCACCAGTTCTGTCAGAAAGATATGCAAACACCACCTTCTCAAGCACTCTTTTTTTTTTACTTTGGCTCTCTAAAAGCATAAGAAACAGCAGTACCCACCAGGGTGGCCTGGAACCATCTGTGGGCTGGACTTTGACTGCAAAGATAAGCAAGAGACACTCCAATCCTGTGTGGCAGCACCCTGAAATCTCTTCTGCCCTTTATGAGGAGCTGTTACTGTCAGAGTTTCCATGTAACAGTGAAGGCCTGGGTGTGGGGAATGTGCATTCCATGTTCTTGTGTTCTGGCCATTTGAATGATCTTTGTATCCACCAGAGACTGAAGGAAAACCAACCACAGACAGGGCTGGAACCAGGGAGGATCAAACAGGCAGACACGCTCAGCACCCAGCCCCAAGTTCTGTTCAGAGTTTGCACTCAGCTCCCCCTGCAGCTCCTGTCACTGTGTCACTCAAAGCACAGTAGTACACAGCCGAATCCAGCTCTTGGACTGAGGCTTTCTCCAAGTGGAAGGAGGAGGCTTCTTTATTGTACGTGGCTCCAAAACCTTTGTTCCTTCCCTTCTCATTGGCCTTTGCAGCTTTCAGGAGGAGCTGTGGGCCTGCTCCAGGAGACTGCACATACCAGAAAAGAGTGGGGTACCCTGTGGCAGAATAAGTGCAGTTCATAGTCAGGGAATCCCTTTCCAAGTGGATCACTTGGCCTTCCGTCTAGGCTACTGAGTCTCCTCGGGCTTGGCCTGAGGGAAAATAAAAGAGATCCGTGTCACAGTGGGCATAAAGCTCTTGGATAAAATTATGGTTACAGACTTTGCTGGCACATGAGAAGAAAGACCCAAATTTTCAGAGGCATTTTACTTACCAATCAGTAGGAATACCATAGTCACTACGCCTGGGGAATAGTTCATCTCTACGGTGCCACCTAAATAATGTTCTTCATTTGTAACATGAAGAAACATTGAGACACAGTGAAATGATCAATCCAGATACCCAGCTTCCACAGGAAATGTGCTGTTAGGAAGCTGCACCCCCTGGTGGACAGGGACTGAAATGGGAAGCCTGTTTCAGGCTCCTCCCAGAGTCAGCAGTGTGTTCTCATCCCTGACGGTGTTTATGTGTCAGTCTTCAGGTGGCCCTTGGAAGTCTGAACAACAGCTGCCCAAAACTCTCAGGTCTGTTTTATCCTTAGGACACTACCCGACAGGGAAGTCCTTTAACACAGCATCCCAGGGTATTTCTGTAGCCAAGAAGGTATCAATTGTCTTAAGCATTTTAATACAATCCTTCATATTCTCATGTATCCATTGTGGGCCAGCCTTTAATTCACTGAATGTCAGAAGAGGTCTGGGGTTGAATACAGAAGATGCAATAAGAAGTCAAGTCAGTACTGAGTGATTCTGTGTTTTTCAGCATTGTATCCCAAAATATATGCAACAGGGACTGAAACTTACATGTTCACTATATATTTGTTAAACACAAATAATGAATAAATTGGTCTTTGACTGAGGGATCATTACTACTTGAAATACAATATTTCCTGGTCCTAAGAAAATACCAATTGTAAGGAATGTTCTGTTTTTTAATAAAAGCTTCTCAAGAGAAAAAGTCATACTGTCAATAAAATATTCTTGAATTTAAGAATCATTCGAAAGTAAAAAATATGACTCCAAGACAGAAGAAACGTCATAATTGAAGTTACTGATTCCCTAGAGAATGATATGGGATCAATATCTTAGTCTCCCACTATTTTGTTGCTTCCAAGATAAGACAGCCAGCCTATGTGAATCAGGAAAGCGGTACTAATCCTCTACTCTTTAACAGAGATCTAGGCTCAAGGATGCTTTCTGTTATCATTCATGTACCACATTTTGTTGCCAAACTCTAATCAAATAATTTTCTCCCACCCAGTAGGGAACCCTCAAGATGTGGATTTGCTTCAAAAGCCTGGAGCAAGTAGGACCCTCTTCTTCCCCAGCTTTTTAAACTGTTAGAGACGTGTCAGCTGATAAGAAAAACAGGTGATAGTTACAATCAACCTGCGAGTGATTTAAAATTACAGATCCTGGGATCCCACCACTGACTTCATGCATCCTATTCTCCTGCATTGAGACCTGTCGGCTTGTCATTTTTATAAGCTCCCCAGACAGTTTTGTTGCAGCCAGCCTGACATCAGTTGACAAGAATTCATCTGTGACAACTGTCCTAGACCAAGATGGGGGTCAAAGATCAGGGAGAAAGCTCTGGGATCAACATGAGGAAACATCCCCTTTTACATGAATTTTTTTAGACTGGTCTTTTCCAAAGGGGCACCAGCAGCAAAAACAAGTACTTCTTTAGCTTCCTCTTTATGACCATTGGTTTCATAAAAAAAATCTGCTGAGGGTTCTTGGATGATATCTGGATAGGCATATGTGTTCCGTAGAGCCACGTGAGTGTTTATCCCTAACCACGTAGCCGGAAGCTGTCACAGTCTGTTTCCTGGCATTTACTCTCCACAGATTCAGATCAAGGAGCTTCATTGTCCAGAGTCAATGTGTGAACAGTTTCTCAGATGCAAATTTAAGTAAGAAATCAGGCCCAGATCTGTTTGGGTTCATATATTGCCTCCCTTCCCCTCCATCTTCCCAATCACATTGTCAGAACCTGTCTCAAAACTATGCTAGAAAGGAACTCTGGAGAAGCAGCTGCAAATTTCCATTCTGATGTACAGGGAGAAAGCAAATAGGTTGGCATGATGCTGGGTTGAAAATTAACGGTATAGCACATGGATGCAGAAAGTTGTTACCTATACTTAAAAAAACAGTTTTAGTCCAATGAAAACCTGGAATAGAAATATTTTGCAATTTGGGTGACACCAGACAATGTGCACAACATTGAGGGAAGATATTTGTTAAATTTGGGCTTTTTTAATAGCCTTATGATGTATAATAGATATAAAAATAAACTTTACCTATTTAAAGTGAACAATTTTATAAGATTTAGCACCTGTATATACTTGTGAAGCCATCATCACCATCAAGATAATGAACATATACATCACACCAAAGTTTCCTCATGTCTCCTTGTAACCCCTCTCTCAACCTTCTCCCCACTTTCACTCCCATTTCCAGGTACATTTCCATCATGGATTAGTTGCACATTTTATAATGTCATATAAGTGGAATCATATGTACTCTTTTGTCTGTGTTTTTTTTTCACTCAACATAATTATTTTTAGATTCTTCAATGTTTATAAGTATCAATGGTTCATTCCTTTTTGTTGCTGAGTAATATACCAAGATATCAAACAATTTTTTTTATCTATTCATCTATTGATGAACTTTTCAGTTAATCCTAGTCTGGGGCTGTTAAAAATAAAGCTGCTATGAGTATTTGTACAATATTTTTGTAGACATATGCTTTCATTTCTTTTGGGTCAATATCTGGGAGTGGAAAGGCTGGATCATATGGTAGGAGTACATTTGACTTCTTAAACTGACTTACTCTAATAGCTTTTTGTACATTCCCTTGGACTTTCCATTCATACAATTATGCTGTCTGTGAATAAAGACAGGTTCGCTTCTTCCTTTCAAACTGTATGTATTTTGTTTCTTTCCCTTGTCTAACTTAGAATGATGTTGAACAATTGCTGAGAGTCAAAATGCTTCCTGTGTTCCTGAAATTATGGGAAAGCATTCAACTTTTCCCTGTCAAGTATGACATTTGATGTAGGTTTTTTGTAAAGGCCCTTTCTAAGTTAAGGATATTCCCATCAATTTCTAAGTCACTGAAGGTTTCTGTCAGGCATGGATGCTGGATTTTGTCAAAAGCTTTTCCTGTACCTACTGAGATTGCCCTCATTCATTAGTCATCTGATACTTATTAATCTCCTTGGATACATTATTGATAAATTGTCACAACTAAGTATTAAAGAAGATATCACCATCCCACTTTACAATAATGAAACAAAGCCCACAAGTGTCTAGACAGTTCATAGCAGAGCTAACACTTTTGAACATCCCTCTAATAGCAAAAACCTGTTTCCTGTTTCTTCTACCACACATTATTTTCAGAGAAAATTTGAGAGAGAAACTAGACAGCAGCAAAATTACTTCTTTGGGAGCCTTTGAAATATTCAAGACAGTCTGTTAATGGATTCTCTATGTGTGCAAATGGAACTAATACAAATAATTCAGTAAGTGCAGGTTTTGCCCTTTTCAACAGAAAAAAAAACATCATAAAGGATACCCAACTGCAATTCAGGAGTTGATTACAAGGTAGTGGCTGGTTCATTCCTTTCAGATGAATTACTAGGCACCTGGCTTGGGCAATGCACTGTAGCAAAGGTGACAAACTCTTCTAGGCTTGGGTGAACCACCAAGATACTGAAACTTCATTTGTGGCTAGTGACTAGTCTTTTTCTCTGGTGCTTGAAAATTGCTTGTGATAAAAGAGTCTAGAGTTCAGTTGTTCCAATTAACCATATAAATGTTTCTCAAATATTTAAAAATAGAATTGCTATATGATCCATCAATTCTACTTCTGATTATATATTCAAAAAATTGGAATAATTTAAGGTTATACCCAAAAAGTTGACACATTTAAATACCGATGTTTCCACCAAAAGGTGGAGGAAACACAAGCATTCATCAACAAATGAATAAACAAATGTGGTACATAAACACACAGGAATATTATTCACCCTTAAAAAGGAAATAAATTTTGACACTTGCTACAACATGGATGAACCTTGAGGGCATTATGCTAAATGAAATAAGCCACTAAATGACCAATGTTACATGATTCCACTTACAGGAGTTATCTGAAGTATTCAAAGTCAAGCTCATAGGAAGAGAAAGTAGAATGGTAGTTGCCCGGAACAGAAGGGACCAGGGAATGGGAGTCATTGTTTAATAAGCTAACAAATTTTCTATTTCTCAAGAGGAAAACAGTTTTAGAGATGGATGATGGTGCTGTGAGCAATGATACAATGACCAACTGATGTAAATGTACTTAATACCACTGGGTTATACACTTAAAATTGCTAATAAAGCAAAAATTTATGTTAAAATGCTAACAATTTTCAATTAAAAAAAATTTCAAGACACTCCTTTTAACATTTTTACACATCTGCTTTCTAAATGCAAATATAACAGGGAGTTACAATACAAGATCATTTGTCAACAATCCATTGCCACTCGAATTTTAAGGCACTGTGAAAATGGGGATAGAGGTAGGAGAAGGAAATTGGAGAGGATGAGGATTTGGGATAATGGAACATTGATTGAACAAAGAGGGCCAGGAGGTCTGAAAGCTGAGCCACATGATGGCAAAAATGCCTTTGGAGGAGTGTTGAAGTGAAAAATGAGAGCACAGAAAAAAGATAATTCATACTGTGTCCTTCAGAATGTCCCTCTAAGGGCCACTAATTTTGGTCATTTGTGGATCAGAATGGTGGGAGGCAGGTAAATATATGATATAGAAATTGATCAATTCCATGCTAGAGGTGTTACATGGAATGAATATTAATATAGTTTGTTATGTAATAGGCACCTCAGAAAGAAAATGAAATGACCGTTAACTCAGCTAACAAATTAAATTAGGCTAAATCATTAAATGGTATAAAACATCATGATACAGAAAAAGAAGAAGACAGACAGATTTCATAGTCTGCTTGTTCAAAACAATACCTGAAACCTAATATATAATCAATGAATATTTACTGAAAATGTTCCAAAAATACAAAAAATCACACATTTTTACTGATTTTTGAGTCAGATGTTCAGAACTTCCTCAGTCAACTCTACTAGATGAAATGAATCAACGAATGGAATACTGTTTGTTATTGCTGTCTTTCTCTTCGATCTTTGGTCACAAATTCAGTATATTCACCATTAAGCCAGTGATTAAGGGATAAGGATGTTTTTGA